ATACGAATAAACGTGCGCGTCTGCGCACGGAGGCGCTCAAGCTGACATCTAGTTGCCAATGCACTGTGCAGAATTGGCTGTATGTGACACGTCCACATCTGTGGGGATTGGCGGGCTCGGGGAGACGGGGGAATGCTTGATGTTAAGTGCACACAGAACGAAGCGTGGACGCATGCACGTCGATGCAATTTTGATGAAGTACCAGCTGGGACAGAGGAGCACGATTAGGATGACGTGGGATGGGTTGGTTTTCCAAAAGCGACAGGCTTTGTGAGGCCGGTGCTGTTGTTCTGCTTGCGGCCAGGTGGTGCTTCTGGGTACGGATGCTTGGCGGTGAATGGATCGAAGGTCTTGAGTTGCAGGGAAGGTTGATACTAAAGACCAGAGTTAAAATCAGGAAGTCCAAAAGCGGTGTGATAGAATGATATCGAGGGGCTCTTGAGAGCGGTTCTTTCCAATGAGTCTGCGCATCTCGATGTTCGGTGATGTGAGGACAACTATGCCATGGCCAAGAACATTAAGGCGATGGAGGGTGTGCTTAGCTCTTGGCATCTTGAGGCAGTGTGTCAATCTGGCCGCAAATTTCGTCCAGCTGACAAAGCGGCATCATTTCATACGAGACTAGCCAGTTTCATGAATAAGTTCCTTGCCACGCGGCGTGGGACATTTCCACAAGCAAACAGAGCGACAGAACATGTCGAAGGCGGCGCTAGCTTCCCGGAGCCCTTCCGCTGCAGAGGTGGGCTGTAAGACCACTTGTCAAGTTCAAGTGTTACGAGTTCGATCAGTGGGCTTCCAATGGCTCACCACAAGTGGCCACTGGGCTTGGCAGCATCTTGCAACTTGTGGCGTCAAAGGCCGCAAAAGTCCTGAGTCACATGCATACTGATCCGAAAGCCCTATTTTTGCACTACAGCGACAGGTTCTGTATCTTCGGGCCATACTGGATTCACTGGAGAAACTTGACATGGTGTTTGCCCTGAACGGCTGCAGGTCCTTGGTATTCGTGGTTGTGGGAAGTGCAAGGCTGGTGGCCTTTGTGGAGGCCCAACAACTGAGATGCCCTCAAGGACATGTCTTGTCGAAAGCATAGGAACGACACCACATGTACTTGTAGTATCATCTAGTTAAAACTGAATTCGTAGGCGTGTGTTATGAAGACCGGCATGCTCGGCTGCATTGCAGCAGAATGTAAGTACTGGCAAAGCGCAAGATGTCACATCATGAGTTCCTTTGGGCTGGCAGTAGGCTCAGCAGACGTTGCTACGTCCCAGGATGCCAGGCCGTCAACAAGGACCATGCCGGCACGCAGCACACAACATTGCCTGTATGCGTCAGCACCTCTATAGAACAGCATTTCACATCGCAGCATTCTCTGCTCATTCCATACTAATTACAGTATCTTGTAGATCTACCCGTTCGATACCGATGAGCACACCTTCGGATTGTGGGTGTTGCTCTTGCGAAGCGGCCTCGCAACCCTTGTCTACATCCTCAGGTGGAGGTCAGATCTTTAGCCGTGGGGCATTGGAAAAGCAACCCGACCGCATGATGGCTGGTGGTCTAACCTCCAACTATAAAGAAAATTTCTAAGTTGGAACAGTCAAAGGTCGATGTCACTAGCGGCACTTTCGTGCGGAGCTGGGAGTTGGGGATGTACAGGAAGTCAAGTGGAATTTTTCTTCTTGCGACAGAGAATTCTCTAGTCACTCGAGATGTTCCAATCCAGAACGCTGCGGAATGTCGGCAGCACCGGGGCGATGCTTAAGGGGTCCATGGACAGAAGAATCTTGGTCGCTTTGCATGCCCAAAACCGAGGATGGTTGGACAGGGGAAAGAGTCCTACATGAGGGAATCCATGAAGGAGGCCGGACCATGCATCTAGTGAGGGCTTCCGATTGGCCTTTTAGTGATGGGCTTCGTGGTTTCTGGCTCGGGATGAAGATAACAGTTGTATATATGTATATAGACACATTTGTTTATGTATTGGCTTCGATGATTTGTTGATGGATTCTCCTTCATAGTTATCCTGCTTCATGTTTATAGAGTTCTGTTTGCATTTATATGTATGTATGTCACGAGGGTCCCACTTACGAGTTTAACATTCCCGGCAACACAGTCATTAGGCGTAGAGCCTAGGGTGCCAAAATGTGCTGGGTGGCTTTCTGACGTTTTCGCTTGGCTTTGGGATTCTACTCATGAGCCTGTCAGGGTACTAGTGCCAATTTTCTCCGCCGCATAATTTGTTTGCATCGGAGCCTTCCAAACCCTTGCAGGCAAACGCCTGTGGCATGTGGGGTGACGTGTCAAACTGCCGGGTTGCGGCGGCACACCATGTTCCCGTCCACGTGCCCGGGCTGCCTGGTATTCGCAGACGTGAGTGAGCAGATGACTTCCTGGGATGGGCCGGAGATGGGAATATGTGGGAGTTGAGGGCTGTGCATGGTGAGTTCAACGGCTGGCTGTAGTAGATCTGTCAGAGAGGCCGTATACAACCAAAGTCGAGGAACCAGCCCTGCACACGAGAAAAGTCGCGAATTCTCAGAATCGTGCTTTCGGGGCCCTGGCGCATTTTGAACACAGGATCTGCCTGGACTGCACGGATGGAAAATGGATGATGAGGAGTCATAGCCTCAGTGCTGTGCTGTGGTGCGTCGGTCCTTCTTCGACTGCCTTAGAAAATCGACTTTCACACCGTAAAGTTGATTCAGCCGTATGTTGGAGATGCTATGCGCGGAGAGTTTCAACTTGCATCCAACACTCAGTGGATCATAGCAGATGTTGCCTGGTTGCTAGTGGAGGCTCCTACGCATAAGTTTGCTAAGTTGGTCGTTGCAAAACCTGCTGCGTGGCGCTCCACTTGCAAACAAAGCTCACTCTTGGAGCAGGCTGCAGCAGGCCCTGCTATCTCCGTATCCACCGCCGCTGACATTCCACTACCTGACGCTGGTCATTTTTTGTTAACTTGTTGCGCGCAGGTATGGCATGTATGATGTCTCAGGATCTGCCGGTTCTGCGTAAGTTTAGCATCGTGTGTCAAATGCGTCTTGGGCTTCGACGTCGAAACTTCGGCGACGTCGAAACTTCGGGCCTATTTTATTAACGGAGGTGCACGGTTCCATTCGGTTCGGGTGGGTGGCTGGGCGGCGGTGACTGACTGTGGGTAGTGCTGCTGGCTGGTGGCTGGTGGCTGATGAGGTGGTGGGTGGTTGGTTGCCGACGGCTGGAGGGCATGTGGCAAGGGGAGGTGGCTGGAAGGCAGGCGGCTGGCGGTGGGGCTTGGCTCGTGGATGGTGACTGGTAGCTAGTGTCATGTAGCTGGCTTGTTGGCTGGCTGGTGGTGGGGGCTGCAAACATGTAGAGAATCAGCCATGTGTGAGCCAGAGAATGATAGAAGGCTGTGGCCAAGTGTTGTAGGGTGTCAGCTACATGAAGTAAGGATGTCGGCATGTGCAGCTAGACAGAAAGCATAGACCGAACCCATGGGCCTGAGAGTTTGACAGAATTTTACGCTGAGCCGAACATCATTCCGAGGCAGATTGATGAGATCCGCGCGCTCCATGCCATGGTTGCTTCCAACCATGAGTCGTTCTTCGAGAGCGTGACGGGTCTACAGGCTCTTCGGGTAAGGCATGCAACTCAAGAAGATCCGAAGGCCTACTCTCGTCACATGTGTTTTGGGAATGTAGCCTCAGCAACGAACGGCCAAGATGAGAGGTGGTTACTTAGGTAGGTTGTGTGCAAGGACCGACAGGACTAGAGGATTGAAGAGATCCCTCATTTCTCCTCTCACGCCTGTACAGTCGCTAGCCATCGTTGCGCCCAAGCTCGGCTTAGCGTCCGTTCGTTTGGGCTTCTAGGCCAACAGCCCTGGTTTTCTTGCACTTGAAAGATGAATGTTTGATGCACGCCAAAGTGCTTGGAAATCCCAAGTCCAAATCTCTGTTCGGGCTGCAACCTCAGCCCTACAAACTGCGAAGCCCACCAGGCACAGGGCTTGTCGAGATGGTATGTCCGCCGGGACCGATATGTGGCCGTTCCCTGGCCATTAGAACGGCTGTGCTTGACATTGAGGATCTGCGGTTTGGAGTCAAGGATCTATGGTAGACAAATCGCTGCGGTGCCACTTTCACCCGCCGAGGAAGAGCAGGCGCGAAGACAGCGCGAGCTCGAAATGCGGAGGCATGTTTGGATTGGAGGGATTGTCCTGCAGTTGTGGTGATGCGTTCTAATTCTAGTCTGATAGGTACTGGTCCCACAGAGGGCCAGCTGTTGTTTGCAGTGTTTTTGTGTCGGGTCGTGTTGCTAACCACTCGGTGGGATTTGGAAGCATTGAGTCATGCCGAAGGAACACCTCTGTAGTCACACGCTTCTGGGAGTGATCACTGCCACAAGTCCAAGCAGCCCAAGCATTTTCAGCTCGGTATCTGCAACGGGCCTGGGTCCACCCCGATAAACCGAACTCAACAGGGCGTGTCGGAGCTGCCTGCAGGACACATCCCCCTGAAGGGCCACCAAAGAGCATGACCGTTCGGCGAGAAAGCTTCTGAGGGCCATGAGTCTTCAGGCGGCTCTGTGTCGGTAGTGCGGGCAGCCGTCGAGAAAAGAGCGCCTGCAAGCAGATGCAAGGCAGCGGTTGGGAGCTTTCATGATCACTGGGGGTGCGACGAAAGACCTCGACTCTAGCTGTCGATTGAATCTGCCCGAGTGATCAGAACGCAAACCCGAACTCAACACCACGAGGAACAAAGAGCATCAGCTCTGTGCCAAGTCCAGCTGTAACGCCTGCTGTGCGAACCTGTCGAAATTTGCGGACACTACAAGGTTCGGTTCGGATGGACATGACCCGTAAGAGCTCAGTAGTCAGTAGACCGGGCACACCGAACTGAAGTTGCAGTGGTTTGCCCTTTGTCGTATTGTCAATTTGCCCCACTTCTTTGAGCGAAGTCGGAATTCGTCCGGATGGCTTCTCGTGTCTGTTGTGCACAGCATGGCCCAAGGTTCGATGAGTCCCATGCGCCGTTGAAGGACCTGATCTCCTTTCTACACCTACGTTTTCGCACATTATATACATCTGTATTGAAGAAAGAAATGCATTTGACTTTCGACCGTTACGGTGGATAGGTTCAAGCTTGAAGCTCCCTGCTGTGCTTACTGGCAACGGGATGAGTACGTAGATTCGCAGATTGCCGACCCAAAATCACAACTCTTCGGGTGAAGTTGCACCCTTGGTCGACACTCGCATGCGCTTGGCCTCAGACGTTAAAAGGCCGCCGACCTGTTTCCGAGCCTTGTCCGGGTGTGAAGGAAGATGCAGACAATGCACTCAGCCGGGTGGGGGCCCTGGCTGCGCGCATGCAGTGTGTTCTCTGGTTTACGAACATTCAGCAATTGAGTGCGTTTAGTTTGCCCGGACTACTGGATGTTAGAATGCTCAGTTTCAGTTGGATTGGGACCGACACGGCTTGTTCCGGCTTGTTCTTCAACGGGACTGGTAGCATCTGTTTGCTCGCATGACTACGCGCTGAGCTCGCAGCACTGGCACTGTAGCTTCGGCAAGGGGTGTCAAGCAAGGTATGGCCATCAGAAGGTTCACCCTTGCAAAGAGCGGTTGCTCAGGAACAAGTGCAAGAACAGGAGCAAGAGCATGAAGAAGAAGTGGAGGAGGAGATTCTGAAGAGTGGAATGCATCGGATCCAATGCACACGAGTCATGACGAAGCAGTCGACCTAGCCACCCGGATTGCTTCTGAGGTTTCAAGTGCCGAGTCCACATGCACACCTATCTGACTTGCACTCACTCTCCCGGCCTTGCAATTGTCAGGACCACGAGCAAGAGGCCAGTGGGAGGGGGCGCTCCGGACACACAGAACAACATCTGCAGGCTGTATCAACCGCGTGGCCTCGACAGCTGAGGGATTGCCACTGGAAATCTTTTTGGAGTTGCTCAATACCAAATCGTGTAGTTCCACTGCGACCCCAACACAACAAAGAGGCGTTTGGGTGGCTTCGCATCGGCTGCTGATATCCGAAGAAGCCGTTGGTGCTGTGTGGAGGGATACTGATACCTCAGACAGAGTGGAACTCACTGACATTCTGTGGCACTGGAGTTGCCCTAAGCTGAAACTGACGGCTGAATCTGGCCTGGCACATCCGAGTATCAAACTCCGCAGACCTGAAGGAACACAGTGGCTGCTTGGCCAGTCTTGACCGTTTAAAGCTAGCCTTGCATAGAGAAGTTACGATCCTGAATAACCCACTACGAAGTACTTTCGGCTGAAACTTCAGAACTTTGGGGCCCTGGCCCTCAGCTCAGGCGGAGCAGGAGGAGGAGGTCGACCGGCTCCTGGAAGCGCCAGCTCCGCAGAAGTACGCCAAGGAGTCAGAGGAGGCCTCTTGCAGCTACGGGATTTTTCGGCAATGTCCTTCGTTCTCCCCGTCTCTGATATCTGGTTTCCGCGGGAGCGCGAGTAGCTGTTCACAGCCCATGAAGTTTCAGATTGCCTCGCGTGGCCCATAATATTGCTGGCAAACTAGATGAATTGAGCAGTAAACCGGAAACTTCATCGCCAAGCTCCCATTCGATGTCCAGGCCACGCCTTGGCCACTGCAGGGCCTCGTCACGAAGTGCCGGCCTCAGCATAAAGCGTTGACCACGGCATCGTTGCAGACGCCTCTTCGCTACTGACTACTGTATCCGTAGTAAATCTGTGGACATCCTTTCCCAAGAAATCGCTCGTTCTCGCATTCGCTTGGCCTAACCCCTGCCGCAATTTGGACATGGAATAAAAAAAAAATATATATATATATAGATAGATAGATAGATAGATAGATAGATAGATAGATAGATAGATATAGGTACTGGTCCAACGTCCAGTGGAAGGAGGGATTGATAGGGAGAAGATGCAAGCAACAATATGTTTCAGTGGATAAGCAACATCTATATCAGAATCGCTTCGGCTGCAAAGGTCAAGCGCTGCCCTCCCTTTCTACCCACTAGCGGACTTCGCGGTCAACAAAGGGCAGCCAGCCCAGATTTGGGGAGAACGTCGATTCAAGAATCTTAGCCTCGTGTGCCAGCCGGCCTGGGCTTGCACTCCGTCCCATATGCATTTGCGGAGCTCTCTGCGTGTAGTTATGGATGGACGGATGCTGGATGTGGTTAGCAATTCGCAAGTGTGTGCCTGAGTGTTTGGCTGCCAAAGATCATCCAGTTAAACTAGCACGGTTACAATCTTGGAATAACATGTGCGGAACAACCAGAAGCTTGCAATTTCAGCATGGGGGCATCCTGAAAATTGCAATGAATGTCGATGCATGCAAGCGTCATAATCCGCCGCCGCCAGGATCCTCAACGAGTCAAGCCCCGCCTTGGAGGGGCTGCCTGGCTTCGCCGCTTTTCGAGCAGTTCGCACAGTTGTGTCGTTTGTAATTTGTAACTCCCACTCAAATCAGTAGCTGCGAACCACGCGGGGGTGGAGTTGCGATGAGTTGCGTGGTTCGAATTTGGTTTAGGTTTTGCGGCCAGGACTTTTGAGCGCAGCCAGGGTGGGCCTGCCAGCTGTTCTGAGACTTCGGCTTCGCCTGCTGCTGCTGCTGCTGCTGCTGCTGCTGCTGCTGCTGCTGCTGCTGCTGCTGCTGCTGCTGCTGCACCTTCTCCTACTACTACTCCTACTCCTACTCCTACTCCTACTACTACTACTACTACTGGTCGTTTTGGTGGGCTGCAAGACGATGGTCGCTTCGGTCGTTTTAGCCGTTTTGCTTGTTTAGGGCGGGCAACACGACCGGTCCTTCTGGTTTTTGTTGATCGTTTTGGTGGTGGGAAAAACGTTGTGGTCTTGTTGGACCGAACCAAAATGACCAAAACGACGGTCGTTTTGCCACAGCTTGTGGATCATCGGCACACACTGAATACACTGCTACTACTACGACTACTACTACTACTACCACTACTACTACCACTACTGCTATTACTGCTACTGCTACTGCTACTGCTGCTGCTGCTACTACTACTACTACTACCACCACCACTACCACTGCTACGACTACGACTACTACTACTACTACTACAACTACTACTACTACTACTACTACT